GTTAAACTGCACCTGGAGCTAAAAATTCAGGCCTTCGCCATCACTTCAAAGGCCAAGTGAAATCTTTGTAAATGTGTGAAATTACATACATTTAACAAAACATTCACACAGCCAATATATTGCACTTGTTTACTTGGTAAATATATTGCTTCTGATTTTTCTAGTTAGAAAGTTCAGCATGCAAAACATAAAAATATTACTGTTGTAACCATTATAATGTATTATATTTGATTTTCATTCAACAAAGCCAAAAACTCACCTGGCTGAGATTAAGGTTATTATCTATACTCAGCGGAATCAAGTGTGGCAGCACTTTCCGGCAAGCTGCTCTTTGGTAATGCCAAGCTTCTTATGAGTAAAGGTACATTTATAAATACCTGTCAGGATAAAACATATTTATATTGCTTTAATTTAAAAACTGCCTGTAATTAACACAAAAATGAACAAAAACATCAGAGGACTAAATGCAAAGAAACTAAAGAAGACCTGGACAAATTGAGGCCCCAGGGCCACAACCGGCCCTCGATACCTCCACTGTCAGCATGTCTCACTGACAGAGAGGCACACTGACAGATGGTCATGTGGACAGCTGCAAGAACTGGAAGAAGAGAGCCTAAGTAGCTGATCAGCACATCGGGGAGGCTTGGTGCTGGCAGGAGAGAGATGCCTATGCCTGACTCTCTCCCTCCATGCTGCTACTTGGCTAAGTTCTTCCTATGTCAGCCCCTGCATGCTGCAACCCCCAGGAGCCATGCACCTGTTCTTCACTAAAGGTCAGGATCTGCAGAAATCCCCGCTGTCCCAATCTCAGGCACTCTCCTTCCATTCACAGTGCTTTTCAGGAGGCATTTGACAGGCAGCGAGGTGGTGTTATGTTGCCTTCGCGCCACCTGATTTAACCCTATAATGGCACATTACCAAGCTGCAACTGCGTGCTTTGCACACAGTTGTGAGGCAGCTGCATTGAACTCAATGGGCGAGTTTGACAAGTGTTGTCAATGGTAAAATTGTGCACCCCGAGCTACAAATGCCGCAGACGCAAAGTGGATGCGGCATGGAAAATAGCCCCATCCAGCTGTGGCTTTACAGTTGGGAGGGCAAATGGGAAGCGGTAAAACTACAGCTTAGCTTCTCGTTTTTACAACCCCTCCCCTGACTGAAAGATCTATTTTATGACATATTCCGGACTTATTATTCCTAGCACCAGGTGTTTGTTTTCTATAGGTTTATGCATTTTTGGACTTTCCCAGGTCCAGAATGAATACTGAGCAGAATTAAGTTCGGCCCTCCACAACAGTCCCAGTTTCTCATGTAGCCCCTTGGGAAAATTAATTGTCCACCCCTGAACTAAAGAAACAAATGATTAAATACAACAAATCACAGAATTTACATTATACAAAATGATCTTAGTTGTATTATCTCAAGTATTGATGTCAGTGGATGCTCTGATGGTCATAAATATCTAATGACACAAAAAGGTATCAAATTCACTTCATCTACCATTTATTTATTTTTATTATTTATTACAGGTACTTATATAGCGCTGTCAGTTTACGCAGCGCTTTACATATATATTGTATATTCACATCAGTCCCTAACCCTCAAGGGACGTACAATCTAAGGTCCCTAACTCACATTCATACATACACATACTAGGGTCAATTTACACAGGATCCAATTAACCTACAACATGTCTTTGGAGTGTGGGAGGAAACGGGAGTACTCAGAGGAAACCCACGCAGGCACAGGGAGAACATGCAAACTCCAGGCAGGTGGTGCTGTGGCTGGGATTCGAACCAATGACCCTAGCACTGCCAGGCGGAAGTGCTAACCATTTAGCCACTGTGCTGCCCACTGTTATTTCATCATTAATATAATTTAAAGCTAATCACCAGCTTTTAGTAAAATTTTAATTGATTGTGACTTCATCCACCCACTACTCCACCCCAGCCAATCAGAGAAAGCTTTGTATTAATTCACAATATACAAAGCTCCCGGTGAAAGGATGAGCTTGGCTCTGCCGGCCTCATTTTGTTCTGGGTGTGGGAAGAGAAGTTCCTAATCCACTGCCAGAACACAGCAGTGTATACAGTATGTAACTGAGGCTATATACAGTTCAGACAGCACTGAGAGACGCTGCATGTCTCCTAGTGAAGGTAATAGTTTGTTTGGACCAGCTTTGTCAAAAACATATTAGGTTTTCTATATGGCTGGCAGATTTCAAGTTTAGCCTTTGATTAATACAATCATAATTGTATGGTTTGAGTCTTGTAATGAATAAAAAGATTCCTGTCATCGTGACACCCATTTCCTTTATTTACTGTCCGAGGAGAGGTAATGAATTTCTCCAATTTGGACACAAATAGCAATGAAACCTAACGAATTTAAAAAGTAGGTTGGTATTTGGCTGTAAGGGCTGATTTACAAGAAGTCTAGCAACCGATTAAACATAACCTTCAGAAAATAATTTGATTTTCTGCTATACAGAACTGCTTAAAGAATATGTAAACCCAACATTTCATACTACTGATATGTGCCTGGGGTACCATGTACTTGTCTGAAAAAGTATCCTGTTCTCTTTGTATTGCTTCCTCTGTGTGAAATTTCTGGTGTTCCTGCCAGTCCCTCCGTTTTCCTAAACCTGACCACAATAGGCAGGAGAGCATGCCATGGTCAGTTCTATAGCTGTGCTGGGAACTCAGTGTGCTCTCCTCCAATGATCAGACTTGTCCTGACACCCCTCCCTTCACAGCCTTTCATTGGGAAGATTAGTAAGATGCTGTTTCTCCTTGCCCATCTCTCTGAGTTTCTTATGCAGCTGAGAACAGACGGTATGTGATCATTTAAAGAGGGTCTGTACAATGTTTTTTATATCTATACACAAATGTTTTGCCTTTTATTTCTATTTTAAATGGAATGGGTTGTTTTACAAGGTGAGGGTTTACAATTACCATTTCGTAAAGAACTGCCCATAGCTATCTTATCAATGTGAGAGTATCAGGACAGTTGCAATACCAACTCAATTGCAAGATGCTCCAGGGAACAAATATGCCACTCCACTAGCTATCATATATTCTGCAGAAAAATCTGAACATGATTATGTTTCTAAACTATGTGTGTAATAATACAATCTAATTACAAGGGATTATAATTACCCAAAATGCCCATAAGAACTGCAGGCTCCCTTGATGGAATTTGATGTAAGAAGGGCAGAATTTCATCTAGTACAAACCACTTATCCAGGTATTCTAAAATCTTCCCTAAGCACACCAGTGAATTTACACGAACCTGAGTAAAACACAGAAAAACATTTGATCATAAAGATACAAAGCAGGGTTTAAAGTGGTTGTAAATTGTTTAAGAATGTTAAAAGGTGAAAAAAAACCTTTCATGGTCAGTTCCCCCTAAGCCCCTAAATACTTACCTGTGTCCGTGCTCAAGAGCAGCAGTGCTGCTCTCTCTCTCCTTACAGGACTCCGTTGGAACCATTGGCTGCCATTTCTGTCAATCAAATCCTGTGATGGAGCAGAGGGGGGGCCGAGACATACTGTGTGCATCAATTGACACACACAGCACAGCTTGGGATCAAGCCTGCACGTGTGCCACCATATGGAGAGACTATGGTGACAGAGAAGAGAAGGAGCAGAGAGTGCAGAGCACCCCGTAAAAGGTGGATTAGGGCTGCTCTGTGCTACCACCCACCTTCTAACTCCTATTCTAACTACCCTGTAGAAGGAAAATGCTTATACTTGCCTATTCTCAGAGTGCTCTGGTCTGGTCATGTCATCTCCCCAGTGGATGGCTTTAGGAGAGAGAGGAGACAACAGATAAAATGCCCGGGAGGTGACGTCAACCAGTCTCCGCTGAAGCCACTGCTGGGAGCTGATCACGTGACCGAACCAGAACACCGAGAATATGAAAGTATGAATATCCTTCTTCTACGGGGTAGTTAGAATATGAGTTAGGAGGGGGGTGAGAGCAATTATAAGCTTAGTTAGATTTAGCCTGGACTTCCAGTTTGACAAAATGGTGAACTCCATTTTGTGTCTCAGTGTACAGACAATGAGGAGGTAATCTTTTGGAAAAGGCACCTTTTGTTTTTAGGTAAGACAGATGACATTATTAACAAGTTTTCACCATCAGTGTTCCCTTGCCCTTGGTCATATTTGGCTATAAATGTAGTTGCTGAAAACAACCCCTTCTATGTCTGGCGCCAAAATCTTAGGGTCACTGAACTCGTGCAAATTGCCACTATGAACACAATAGATAGATTGCCGGTTTATTTCATTTTCAATATTTTTCTATTAGAAAGCTTTTGATATAGTTACAGAGTTATGTATTGGTTACATTTACCATTATTAGGTTTGCATAGCATAAAGATATGTATAAAGTGCTTCCCCAATAATTACAATTGCAGGTACACACATAGCTAGTCACACAGCTGTAAAAGCCAATCTGCCAGGCTGTGGAGGAGAGAGGCTATGAAACATAGGTGAATTACTCTTTCAAAAGTAATCTGGAATATGAGGGAAGCAGTGTGTATGCTGTACCATTCTTGTTCCTAGCTTTAACCCAACTGATCACACAATGGTTTGCCAGCATTTTGTTTTAGGAATCAAGAAGGAAGAGCTTTCCACCTGATATTTAACTTCTGCATTCAAACTCTTGGCTATGGTCTAACATTTGCAAGAAGGTGGTAAAATGGACCAAAGCAAACCATAAATTCCTTATTCTGTTTTCATTTAAATTCAAGGCTAAATCATCACCAAACTACCTTGGTCACTACAAAGTGAAATGGTGGTGTCACAGTCCCTTAATCCACAAGGGAGAATGTCACCAGCACACCGAGGATCACCAATATGGGACCAAAAGTTTTAATAAACGATCACATAGTTACAGCAAGGCAATGTTTCGGAGTCTCGCAGGACCCCTTCATCATCACATGCCTGATGAAGAGGTCCTGTGAGACTCCGAAACGTTGCCTTGTTGTAACTATGTGATCGTTTATTAAAACGTTTGGACCCATATTGGTGATCCTCAGTGTACTGGTGACATTCTCCCTCGCTGATTCTGTTGGGTTCCAGCCAACACACAGCCATTTTTAAATGCAGGAACGTGTGCATTTGGATTGTACACTTGCAGTCCCTTAATCCATTCTTTATAATGAAATAAACCCACAACTAGGAAGTCCACCAACAACAGAGAATTTGGTAAACTTTTGCCATGGTTCTTTCTCAAAGATATTCAAAGTTAGCATAAAAAATTTCCACTCCATAAGTTGTCGGCTAGAGAATATGCAACTTGTACTCTGCAGCTGAGAGAGCAAAAGAACCTTTGTGACCAAGGCACATGAAGGTAATCACAATAGAGAACATGATTGGACAAGAAAAGAAAAAAAAAAAAAAAAAACATAAAACAATAAGATATCTTACAATAACTGAACTAGATAGTAAACAAACTGCAATGCTGCAGCCTAATTATAAAGTATGCTAATACTATAACTATGTAATCAATGTTTCTAAGAGATTTAAGTGACCGTAAAGTAAGGTTAAAAAAGAAAAAAAAAAAATTATGTTCAAGTATGTACCGTTAACTTCAGAACATCAAACCTTTTAAAACTGTACATGTTAGCATTAATATGCACACAGAATATTTTGCAGTATCTCTCTAATATCAAAGCTAGTGAAATAGTATCTCAAGTAAATTGCGATTCATGCATATACATTTCCCAGACTGAATGAAGGATTTATTTTTTGTACTTACAGCGAGAGAAGAGGTTTGTAGACAAGCGGTCTTAATACGTGGTATCAAAGAATTTTTCATGGACGGATAATCTATGAGGTTTGCAAACGTAGGAATAATGTTTAGGCACAACTCCTAAAAACGAATGAGTGAATCATTTTAGTTTAACACTGAAACAACCATTTAATATCCACCCAAAATTAACCATCTAGCATTGAAGAGCTAAAGAGTAGTAACTTAAAATAATACTTCAGCACCATGATTGAAATATGACTTGTTTAATGAGCAATGGATATTCTCCATTTCTGGGAACAGAAGAATTTTCTGACACCTATTTGCAGGAAAAAATAAATACCAGAAAAAATAGTGGTAGTTCAGTGGGGAATCCTGTGATATTTGTGAACTGACCCAGTCTAGGACAAATCTCAATCCAGTATCTGTTTACATATTTGTAGACTAAATGATCTTCCTTTGTAAAAAAAAAAAAAAAAAAAAAAAAAAAAAAAGGGCACTGCAGCTGGTGAAAGAATAAAAACAGTCTTTATTGCACAACAGGCAACATAGCAATGCTACACATTTTAGACAAGGATGTCCTCTGTCATACTTTGAAAAAGGACACGGTGGTCCTATCTCAATTTTATTTTACCTGATGTGCAATAAAGACTGTTTTTATCCAGTGACCTGCTGGAGTGCTGTTGTACCTTTTTCCACGTTATCCTTAATCTAAGCACCTGGTATTTGGATTGTAGTGGAGACAGTGGAAGTGAGCTAGAGTTTGCTTTCTTGAACATTATCATCCTACCATGTTATTGGGTAAAAACAATTTTAGTGCATATAGTCCTAGACGTAAGTATGTGCATTTTAATATACATTTGTAAACAATATACGGTCTGAGATTAAAAATCCCATTTCAGTCTTTGCAGATCACACCAAGTTGTGCAGTGGAATAACGTCCTTACAGGATGTCTCCAACTTACAAGAGGACCTCAATGCACTGTTTAATTGGGCAACTATGTGGCAAATGAGGGTTAATGTTGATAAATGTAAGGTTATGCACTTGGGGGCTAAGAATATGCATGCATCATACATAGTAGGGGGGGTACAACTGGGGGAATCAATGGTGGAGAAGGATCTGGGGGTTCAGGTAGATCACAAGCTTAATAATGGCATGTAAAGCAAGCAAAATCCTCTCTTGTATTAAAAGAGGTATAGACTCCAGAGAGAGAGATATCATATTACCCCGGTACAAATCATTAGTAAGACCTCATCTCAAATATGCAGTTCAGTTTTGGGCACCAATTCACAAAAAAGAACACTGGGGAACTGGAGAGAAGTGCAGAGAAGGGCAACCAAACTGATACGAGGCATGGAGGAGCTCAGCTATGAGGAAAGATTAGAGGAACTGAATTTATTCTCTTTTGAGAAGAGGAGATTAAGGGGGGATATGATCAACATGTATAAATACATCAGTGGTTCATATAGTGAACTCGGTGTAGAGTTATTCACCCTGAGGTCATCACAGAGGACAAGGGGGCACTCTTTACGTCTGGAGGAAAAGAAATTTAATCTCCAAACATGGAAAGGCTTCTTCACAGTGAGAGCTGTGAAAATGTGGAATAGACTCCCTCAAGAGTTGGTTCTGGCCAGCTCAGTGGATTGCTTTAACAAAGGCCTGGATTCTTTCTTAGATACACAGAATATAACTGGATACTAACATTTTTAGGTAAATTGATCCAGGGAATATTCAATTGCCTCTCGGAAGAGGAAGACATTTTTTTCCCTGCAGGAGCAAATTGGATCATGCTTTGCTGGGTTTTTTGCCTTCCTCTGGATCAACTGCGGGTATAGGATAACTTTTTTTTTTTTTTTTTTTAATGGTTGAACTGGATGGACTTTTGTCTTTTTTCAGCCAGACTATGCAACTATGCCAATAAAAAAATGCAAATCATGTAATGAAGCAATAAAGCTCTATCCACACTATCACATACTGTATGTAGGAAGTTATTTACTTATTTTGCAAAAACACAATGGGGACGATATATGAAGCATATCAACCAGTGAGAATTCTTGTTCTGTTATTGTCCTATTTAACCCAAGAATGGAAGTTGTTTATTTGCTCTGGATAACACAAGATTTTATCCTGTTACATACAGTCAGGTCCATAAATATTGGGACATCAACACAATTCTAACATTTTTGGCTCTATACACCACCACAATAGATTTGAAATGAAACAAACAAGATGTGCTTTAACTGCAGACTGTCAGCTTTAATTTGAGGGTATTTACATCCAAATCAGGTGAACAGTGTAGGAATTACAACAGTTTGCATATGTGCCTCCCACTTCTTAAGGGCACCCCCCTTCCTTACCAGGCCAATTTTCAGTTTCAGCGCTGCCGCACTTTGATTGACACGCGGTCAGCAACATTGTACCCATATGAAATTTTGATCATTTTTTCTCACAAATAGAGCTTTCTTTTGGTGGTATTTAATCGCCACTGGGCGCTTTACTTTTTGCACTATAAATTAAAAAAAGTGCAAAAAATTTGAAAAAAAAAAAAAGTTTATTTGTTTCTTTTATAAAATTTTTCAAACAGGTATTTTTTTCCTTCACTGATTTGCGTTGATGAGGCGGCACTGATGGGCACTGATAGGCGGCACTGATGGGCACTGATAGGCAGCACTAAAGGGCACTGATAGGCAGTACTAATGAGGTGGCACGGATAGGCGGCACTGATAGACAGCACTAATTAGGGGTCACGGATAGGCGGCACTGTATGCAGCACTGCATAGGCGGCACTGATAGGTGACACGGATGATGGGTACTGATAGACGGCACTGACTGGCATCACTTCTGGGCACTGACTGGCGGCACTGACTGGCAGCACTGGTGGGTGGCACTGGTGGGTGGCACTGGTGGACAGCACTGGTGGGTGGGCACTGGTGGGTGGCACTGGTGGGCCAGGTGGGTGGCGCTGGTGGGCACAGGTGGGTGGCACTGCTGGGCACATGTAGGTGGCACTGCTGGGCACAGGTAGGTGGCACTGCAGAGTGGCACAGGTGGGGGCACTGCAGAGTGGCACAGGTGGGGGCACTGCTGGGCACAGGTGGGGGCACTGCTGGGAATGGGTGGGCGGGGCTAGTGGGCGCACAGCTGATCGGAACTTGCGGGGGTCACTGCTGGGCACCGATCATCAGGGCACTGATCATCAGTGCCCTGATGATCGGTGCCGATCCCCGCTCTGACAACTGCCGGTTCTCGGCAGTACTTTCCTCACGATCTGACAGCGTGAGGAAAGTGCAGCCGAGAACCGGCACTTGCATTTTCCTGTGATCAGCGTGTCATTGGACACCGCTGATCACGTGGTAAAAGGCCGGTGGGTCGGCCTTTCACCACATCTCGTGATCAGCTGTGTCCGTAGGACACAGCGATCACGGAGATCGCCGGGTGCGCGCCCCCTGGGGCGCGCAGGAGAGCGCGTTCTGGGAGGACGTCATATGACGTCCACTCAGAACTGGCCGGCCGCGGTGAAGCCGTCATTCGGCTATGCGCGGTCGGCAAGTGGTTAAGGGACCAAAAGTAATGGGACAGAATAATAATCATAAATCAAACTTTCACTTTTTAATACTTGGTTGCAAATCCTTTGCAGTCAATTACAGCCTGAAGTGTGGAACGCATAGACATCACCAGACGCTGGGTTTCATCCCTGGTGATGCTCTGCCAGGCCTCTACTGCAACTGTCTTCAGTTCCTGCTTGTTCTTGGGGCATTTTCCCTTCAGTTTTGTCTTCAGCAAGTGAAATGCTCAATCGGATTAAGGTCAGGTGATTGACTTGGCCATTGCAGAACATTCCACTTCTTTCCCTTAAACTCTTGGTTGCTTTTGCAGTCTGCTTTGGGTCATTGTCCATCTGCACTGTGAAGCGTCCAATGAGTTGTGAAGCATTTGGCTGAATATGAGCCGATAATATTCCCGAAACACTTCACAATTCATCCGGCTGCTTTTGTCAGCAGTCACATCATCAATAAATACAAGAGAACCAGTTCCATTGGCAGCCATACATGCCCACGCCATGACACTACCACCACCATGCTTCACTGATGAGGTAGTATGCTTAGGATCATGAGCAGTTCCTTTCCTTCTCCATACTCTTCTCTTCCCATCACTCTGGTACAAGTTGATCTTGGTCTCATCTGTCCATAGGATGTTGTTCCAGAACTGTGAAGACTTTTTTACATGTCGTTTGGAAAACTCTAATCTGGCCTTCCTGTGTTTGAGGCACTAATGGTTTCCATCTTGTGGTGAACCCTCTGTATTCACTCTGGTGAAGTCTTCTCTTGATTGGTGACTTTGACACACATACACCTACCTCCTGGAGAGTGTTCTTGATCTGGCCAACTGTTGTGAAGGGTGTTTTCTTCACCAGGGAAAGAATTCTTCGGTCATCCACCACAGTTGTTTTCCGTGGTCTTCCGGGTCTTTTGGTGTTGCTGAGCTCACTGGTGCATTCCTTCTTTTTAAGAATGTTCCAAACAGTTGTTTTGGCCACGCCTAATGTTTTTGCTATCTCTCTGATGGGTTTGTTTTGTTTTTTCAGCCTAATGATGGCTCACTTCACTGATAGTGACAGCTCTTTGGATCTCATCTTGAGAGTTGACAGCAACAGATTCCAAATGCAAATAGCACACTTGAAATGAACTCTGGACCTTTTATCTGCTCATTGTAATTGGGATAATGAGGGAATAACACACACCTGGCCATGGAACAGCTGAGAAGACAATTGTCCCATTACTTTTGGTCCATTAACAAGTGGGAGGCACATATGCAAACTGTTGTAATTCCTACACCGTTCACCTGATTTTGATGTAAACACCCTCAAATTAAAGCTGACAGTCTGGAGTTAAAGCGCATCTTGTTTGTTTCATTTCAAATCCATTGTGGTTGTGTATAGAGCCAAAAATGTTAGAATTGTGTCCATGTCCCAATATTTATGGACCTGACTGTACATCATACGTCTTGCCCACTGTGTCCTGCTTTGGCTATTGTTGAATCTGTAGTCATTTTCTCTCTCTCGCAAAAGAAAATAAAGAGGATGTAGCCCAGAAAAACCAATGCCGCAATAAAAACGTAAGAAAATAAGACTGATTTACTGATCTAGGCAAAAATCACACTTCATTAAACCATCATGTAGGAGCACAGTAATTACTGTCACAGAGCCAGCAACAGGACAGACACAGCTGACATACCTGAATCTGAATTGATGGTGCCTCCAGCGCCCGGTACACCATGGGTAACACACTGTTCTTTATTTCATCTGCTGGAGTTTTGGTGAGAAGGAGATCCATTTTTTGCAGAAATATTAGAAGTATCTAAACAAATACACACTGCATTAATACTGACACTCTAGAAAGACAAATCTAGTAAAACAAATAGAACTCAATAGTATTAACTCACCATGTTGCTAGCCTGACAGCATGCAAAATAAGACAATGCATTTTTTAAATGAAATCAATTTAAGGTCACAAATGAGCTATTAGCATGAAAAGAAAAGACTTTTAAAAAAATAAAAGAAATATTTTGTGCACTTAATCTAGGATGATGGCTCTATTTTCACACCAAGTTCAGTTTTTCACAATGTATTAGCTGCCATATTTATGAAGAGCAACCAAGAGAGAATGACAAAAACAAAATAAATCAAAATTAACCAGATATATGTTTATTGTAAAGTAGGAAGAATAGTTGCCGATAAGGGGACTATTACTTGAGTATTTCCTAACGCACACAGAGTGTTTTTGCAGCTACTTTTAAGGGCGTCAGGCATTTGTTTTTTTTTTTTGTTTTTTTTACTGCTTCCAAATGGCCATCTATGTTATCCTATATGTCCATGCACACACAGACTTTTAGAAGCCTTTAGTAGCAGTGGCGTTCACCAGAAAGAAAAAAATCCAGGGCCAGTGTATCCAGGAGAAGCAACATTTTGGCAGAAAAAACACCTGATGTGGCTAAACGCATCTAAACATCCCTAAGCGTGTTTAGCGCTTGAGCGTTAATTTCAATAGCCAGATTAAATTATCATTCTGGCCACTGAAATGAATTAATGTACAAGTGTATGATGCTTGTAAATGTGCTTAAATGCTTGTAAAAGCATTTGATACTTTTACAAGCGTCAGGAATTTTTTCTGCAAAAATGCTGCTGTCGGGAGGACAGCTTCTAGGCGAGTTTCTTTTTAACGTCCTGTGTGCATGAGGCCTCAAACACAGTAAGACCTATCTCTTTTTCTTCTTCTATCTTCTTTATATTGTAAAGCATTGTGAAAAATGTTGTATAAATGCTGTATAATAATATGGAGCAAAGCATATTTATTCTCCACCACATCTGACAATAAAAAAAGGGATATGAACAATATTACTAAGAAGGACAATTTTGTTCACACCATATCTGCTAAGCTGTGTTTTTCTGCACACCATCACACATGCATGGTGTGAACAGAGACACAGAAAACAATTGTTGTTTTCTACATTCTCTGTTAGTACCAGAAAAACTCAGCTCAACAGACATGGTGTGAACAAGCCCTAAAGCAGTCATTATGTACCAGTACTAATCCAGGACCTGTATACGTAATGAGTAAAACAAAGCTGCATACAGGCACATTTATATTTACAACGTATTCACAAACACACACATTTTAAAGATTCAAGACACATTCAAATAATTATTTACATTACAGTATATGTAAAGCTTTTTGTTTTGAATAGTGTAGTCAAGAGTTAAAACTTCAACTTTTTTTTTTTTTAATCTCTGCCATTGGGGTGATTATTCTTCACTTCCTGTCCCCACTGGAAGACTTGTCAGTGGACAAAATACGATTCCTCCTGCACTCCAGGACCCAGGCCGGTGGTGAGTAGGTGAAATCAAACCCAAACGAAACGACCACCAGAGCATGAAAGGTCGTGCAGCTCCAAAACAAGGCTGGGGAAGCCCGAACAATACTGCAAAGTGAAAAACAACAAGAAGCGCACCAACCTTGCGTATTACCTCAGTAACCAAAATTTATTAGTAAAGGAATGGTACTCACAAACAGCGAATAAAAACAGGCAGAGCTCTGAGGAAGAAGGTACGACCTTCGAAACGCGTCAGCGGTGTACTGAGTGTCTAGCCCCATGATGGGATTCGCACTGGCTCTTGTCTCTGAAGTCCCTTGGAGGACTTACATGCCTGTTTTTATTCACTGTTTGTGAGTACTATTCCTTTACTAATAAATTTTGGTTACTGAGGTAATGCGCAAGGTTGGTGCGCTTCTTGTTTTTTTTTTTTTCACTTTGCAGTTTTTTTCACTTTGCAGACTTGTCAGTGGAACAGGGAAAGTCTTCCAGTGGGGACAGGAAGTGAAGAATAATCACCCCAATGGCAGAGATAAAAAAAAAAAAAAAAAAAAAATCGGAGTTCAAAATTTTCTTTTCCCTTGTCATCTCTAACGACAATGGTCACAGGGCAAAGAGAGGCTAAAACTGCCCAGCAGAAACCCAAACTGTAATAAAAACCTGACAGGAGTTCCAACTCTGCCCACTCTATTCAAAACATAAAAAATGGCTGCAGATACACTTTAAGCTGATCACATACATATTTCGTTGTTTTCCTTGTTCTTTAAAACTGCTACTGTAAATTAGATGCAAAACAAAACACACCTGTACAGGTTCGTGCTGCTTGAAGACAGGGCCCAGATCTGGTAGGATAAGTTTGGTAAACTCCTCCTTGGTGCACTCCTCTGCTATAAGCAGAACATTGGGCAACACAAATGGAACCATATCTGGGTTCACAAATTCCGAAGTCAGTGCTGGCAATATACGTTGTACAACAACTCGCTGAAAAAAAAAAAAAAAAAACTTGTTTTAAGCTGAATTTTACATACATTGCTATATTGATGGATTTTTTTTCTGTACAAACCTTTGGCAGCTTTGGAAGAACTTTTGGTAACCCTTTGAAAAACTGGGACTTCTGGAGATTATCCCGTTGAAAAAGGGAATCAAAATACTGCAGTGTCACAGCACCAACATCATCATCAAAAAATGGAATCTAAAGAATAGCAAACAAAGAAGGACTTTAATACCGAGATTACACATAAATTATGAAGAAAGCATGTCCTTCTATAGTGTGTACATGTCTCAATCCAGAGCACTAAGTGTCATTTCTGTCTGCTGCTTTGTTCCTCTGTTATCATCATGAGTCACATCTGACAAGTTTTCCTGACACCAAGAGAAAAAAAAGGTGACGGGAAGGATCTGCAGCACACAGCCTGTGATTGGTAACCTCAGCGCTGTTCCTGTGTACTGTGTGAAGAGGGTGTGTCCCTTCCCTTCAATCAGCTGTCAGAGCTCTCCTTCCTGAGCTATACAGTGTGTAACTTCAGCTCTCTGCCCCCTTTTTTTCTGACAGCTCAGACAGCTTTATAAATTCTAGACTTTGAATGGATGTAGAGGAGACTGCGGATAAACAGGTACAGGGAGGATCTGTTTCATCTCTACATTAAACAGTAGCTGATAACAGTGGTTATAGCCTTTACATATGTCTCCTATAATTTATTGAGCAGCTTGGTTATAGCCTTTACATATGTCTCCTATAGTCTATTGAGCAGCTGTGATTATAGCCTTTACATATGTCTCCTATAGTCTATTGAGAAGCTGTGGTTATACCCTATACATATGTCTCCTATGGTCTATTGAGCAGCTGTGTGTTATAGCCTATATACATATGTCTCCTATGGTCTATTGAGCAGCTGTGGTTATACCCTATACATATGTCTCCTATGGTCTATTGAGCAAGCTGTGGTTATAACCTTTACATATGTCTCCTATGGTCTATTGAGCAGCTGTGGTTATACCCTATACATATGTCTCCTATGGTCTATTGGGCAGCTGTGGTTTATAGCCTATACATATGTCTCCTATGGTCTATTGAGAAGCTGTGGTTATGTATACATATGTCTCCTATGGTCTATTGAGCAGCTGTGGTTATACCCTATACATATGTCTCCTATGGTCTATTGAGCAGCTGTGGTTATACCCTATACATATGTCCCTATGGTCTATTGAGCAGCTGTGGTTATAGCCTTACATATGTCTCCTATGGTCTATTGAGCAGCTGTGGTTATAGTCATATGTCCTATGGTCTATTGAGCAGCTGTGGTTATAGTCTCCTATGGTCTATATGTTATATAGCCTCATATGTCTCCTATGGTCTATTGAGCAGTCTGGTCTATTGGTTATACCCTATACATAATGTCTCCTATGGTCTATTGTGTGGTTATAGCCCTATACATATGTCTCCTATGGTCTATTGAGCAGCTGTGGTTATACCCTATACATATGTCTCCTATGGTCTATTGAGCAGCTGTGGTTATATACCCTATACATATGTCTCCTATGGTCTATTGAGCAGCTGTGGTTATACCCTATACATATGTCTCCTATGGTCTATTGAGCAGCTGTGGTTATACCCTATACATATGTCTCCTATGGTCTAATGGGCAGCTGTGGTTATACCCTATACATATGTCTCCTATGGTCTATTGGGCAGCTGTGGTTATACCCTATGCATATGTCTCCTATGGTCTATTGAGCAGCTGTGGTTATACCCTATACATATGTCTCCTATGGTCTATTGAGCAGCTGTGGTTATAGCCTTTACAAGCTACAAAACCTTATTTTGGTGACCAATGCCCAAGAGGTTGTTCATTTCTTTGTTTCATCTCTGTGTATCACCTGGGGCCAGTCACTTAACTGAATATATGTAAGGGTTTACAACCACTTGTCTACCAGGCACTTTACCCCCTACCTACCCAAGCCAATTTCCACCCAGGTCATTTTGAATGACAATTTGAATGGTCATGCAACCCTGTACCCATATGAAATTTTTATCATTTTTTTCACACAAATAGAGATTTCTTTTGGTGGTAATTAATCACCACTGGGGTTTTAATTTTTTGTATTCTGCTACATTTCTTTTGTGAAAATAACCCAAATCAGCGTTTATTTTTTAACTGGTAGGAAAGTTAGAGTCCACAATGGTATATATCTAAAAATCGATAAATCCTGATGTACTCATGGTCTCTCATTTCTTGAGGCCCAAAAACACCACGACAGTACAAATACCCCCCAAATGACCACTTTTCAGAAAGTAGTCTGTGATATTTAGTAAGAGGTATGGCAAGTTTTTGAAGTTGTAATTTTTTGTCATAATTTTGTGAAAAATGATGAAAAAATATTTTTCACAATGCAGTACAAATGTCATCATATAACTGGTGCGGTGGCGATCAGGGACACTGACTGACAGTATGTAAAAAAAAAAAAAAAAAAGAAAAAACTTTTAAAAAATCTTTTATTACTTTTTAGGATTTTTTTTTTTTTCTACTCCTGTGACCAGAGCAATATAATATTACCATAGTAACATTGTACTACTTTGGGCAAGTGATCAGGATTTTTTTTTTTATTTTTACATTGTGATTGCTTATACCAAAAAATGTAATTGGTATAAGCAAGCATTGTTACTGAATGAAACGGATTCATTTCAGTAGTTTTTGTTGTAACCTGCTGTGATTGACCACAGCTGATCACATGCAAAAGATGGGCTGTGATTGGCCCAGTCTGTACAGGTGATCACTGTGACCAATCACAACTAGCAGCACAGTTATAAGCAATGAATGGCATGAAAGGAAGCCATTAATTGTTTACATCTGTCATGTGATCTGCTGTGATTGGTCACAGTATCACATGACACTGGCAGCGGGCCGGTGTAGTGATCCGTCACCGGCCGTGTCCAGTGGTGACAAATTGCGCTGGAGAACGGCCCGTAGGACGCGCTCGAGGCGTCATCCTGGGAGGACATCAAATAAAGCCCTCCTAGGATAATAGGGCTCGACTTGTCATCTTACAATAGGCCAAGTGGGAAGGAGTTAATGTATACGTATAGTCTTATACAATGAACCTAACGTCAAACATCTTTATGTACCAGGATTAACCTAGAGTAATAAATGAGAGCCACAGAAACAGCTCACAACAGATAAAGGCAAGTCTCACCTCACAGCTCTTTCACAGTCAAGGTGAGAATGTCTGCAGAAATTGTGTTTTTAGGCAATGTTGCTGACTAACTTCCAGAACAGATGGTTCATAAAATAAGGCATTTGCTTGTGCTTTTAAAAATAGAAATACTTTAATAGAATGTGGGTACAGTTATCACTGGAATATCTTATGATTTATTTGATGCCTATCAGATTATTACTACTGGTTCACCTACAAATAATGCCAGCATCAGCAGTGTATAAATATGCACGCTCAGCTAACAGATCATTCAGATGGTCAGATCTTTCAGAATGTCTACTAGAAGATATTCACATGCATCTTTGGTACAGTTGATCCTAAACACTGACAATGTTGCAACAGAGGATATCAGACTCAATGTAAACTGTACTCACTTTTGTCATTTGATCAGCATCAGGTCTAACAGCGGGGGTTACATTTAGAAGAAGTTTCAGGTGTTCCCGGACTTCTTCTGGGATATTCACCAGGATGTTTGGACTTAAATGACTCAGCTGAATTAAAAAAAAAAAAAAAAAAAAAAACACAAGAAAAAGACAAAATAGTGAAAAGGCACGGTTTTGTTTACCATGAACTTTATGTTTCATGAACAGGTAGGTGCTATGGCCCAGAGATAATCCCCCACGGAGATGGAATGCTGATGAGGATTGTTATAGTCAGAACTCGTCTTCCCGAATAATACATTTTATAGAGTAAAAGGTGCATTATAAAATGGCTTATGCGTATCAGCAATAAGCCTTAGTCATAGCCACTATGGTTATGTCATTAAGTTTATTATTCAGGAAGACGAGTGCTGGCTATACCAACCCTCATCATTCAGCTTTCTGTTTCACCATGAATCAGTGTCAGATGTACACCTTAGCTGTCAATATTTTGGCAAGCATGGAAAGTAATGACATAAGAAAGCCAATTCATAGTACAGGTAAAAAAAAATGTTTGTCCAAATGCGACCTGTAAACGCACACCGAACAGAAAGAAAGTGTACTTGCTACCGGGCAACTACTTGGAAATGCAACCCATCACAAAAATCTTTGTGAACAAAATGTATACATTACATGTGCTGAACACATGCTCTGTAGTTAACATTGTCAACATTACTTTCATATAGCACACAGATTGCTTTCTTAAACATTTTCCAGTAACTTATGTTGCAGTTAGACAATTAAAGTATAACTAAAGGCAAAACTTTTCTTTTAGTTTTTGATAGTATGGTGAGGGATTACAACACCTGTCAGTCATTTATTGCTGCCTGTGCCTCTGTTAGGGAGATTCACCCTATTTGTCCTGTTTCCACAGAGGGTGAAAGAAAATCCCAAATATTTGGCTGTCACCAGAACAGGAATAGAGGGGAAATCTTTCAGTTGGGACACTAGCTCTGGTAACAACCAGGGATTCCCCTAATTTGTATAGATTTCCTCCCACTTCCTGATTTGGCTATGGGACAGATAGTAGGGATGCACCGATATATCAGCTGCTGAAAATTATTGGCCGTAAATAGCATTATTGGCATTTTGCCGATAGGAAAAAAAAGTGCTGATAATGTAATGCTGAATCCGGTAGACGTCACAGCAAAATCGTGTCCGACAGACTTCAATGCAAAATCGCGTCCCATGAACTCCAAAGCAAAATCACGTCCCACAGACTTCAGTGCAAAATCGCATCCCTTTGACTTCAAATGCAAAAACGCCAGCCACATAAAATAAAAAAAAAAAACAAAAAAAAAATATTATCTGTTTCAGTTTACAGCCAAGTGTACCCTGAATTTTCTGTTTCGGCTCCAGAGTTTTCACTTCGATGCACCACTAACAGGAAGTAAAGTGAAATCTCCCCAATACGACCCAGATGCCAATAAAAACCTGACAAGAGTTATAACTATCCCTTTACTCTAACCAAAATGGAAAAAAACGTTTTGCATATAATTCTAGTTATAGTTCTTTTTTAAACACTACAGGTGTATTAGAATTGTCAATCAGCTAAATACTTAGCTGAAACAAATATATGTTTACGGTTTTATCTCTAAATGATCTGTAATTCCACACTGTACAGCCATGCAGGAAGCACATGCAGTTCCTAACTAAACAATTCAAATACCTGGTTCAGCTTTCTATTACCTCTCTGCCTCCTCACTGGACAATGAATCAGCACCATCACTTGTCTAGTAGGAGCTGGTCTAGCAGTAAAGCTGACCCATGAAATAGTAGAGTTCAACCAAAAGGTTTGGCAGAAGTGTCTTTATCACAAGAGAACCTATCCAAAATTACAAATACTTTTGCAGGTAAAAAGGTAACTACTTACACTCAAGAAACAAAAAAAAAAAATGTGTGTTTTCAGTGGGATAACCTTTCAAATACAGATGATCCGCTAAGTTTTTAACGGGTATCAATGTATGATGAAAAGTATTCTGAAGTTATTTTCCTTTAATACTGGCAAATCCACTTTAAAGTTGAACTCTGGGTACAATAACTTTCATTTAAATATATCCAATAGCCACAAAGGCTATAAATCCAATTTGTGTGCACCAAATGCCTTTGTAAACTCAGATATTGTGTTGTAAAGTAGCGGTGACATCATCACTGTGCTGTACATAGCTTGTTCAGAGAGCAGAACTGTGAGAGGAGCTGAGCAGGTTCCATCCACAACAGGCGACCTGCTGAAAACTACAGAGGGGATGGTATAAAACCAGTCACTCTGCACAAAGATGAAAAAGCAGCAGTGACTGGTCTCTATTACAGAAAGCTCCTGGACAGAGTCAAAATTTCATGTTCAATTACTGCCCACATCTGGAAGAAATACGTAAAGCACACCAAGATTCATGTAAGACTATACAGGCCTCTATATTTAGACAATATTTGCTTATTATGGAGTTTGGCTTAAACAAAAAATAGCATAACTTGCGCCATGATTTCAAAGTCAAAAACAACAAAATGAGTAAAAAGTACGTATCCAAGTATAAAGAATGCAGGAAGTACCTGGTCCAGCTGTCTACTAAAGCTTTTGTAAATATCTTGTTTGTTGATTTCAAAGATGGCTTTGCCTTTGTTATATACCGCATGTACAACAATGCCAAGTGAGTACATGTCACTGGCAGGGTCACAGCTTACTGACAATATGTATTCTGGTGCCAAATATTCTGGATTCGGTAAACACAATGGCGGTAAGTTGGGATCCCATTCTTTACACAAGAACTTGGTCTAGGAAAAATTACAAAATAAGTGGTATAAAAACGTTGCATCACTGAGACATTTTTAAGACATCTTAGTCTGTATGAGGTTTGTAGATTGAGCTCACGATAATATCTATTAAGCCGAAGCAGAGCCCACTATAAAAAGCACATCAGCCTTGGGTGGAATATGGAACACTGTATAAAACTCAGCATTTTTCTACATCTTTTGCGAATGTTGGAGTTCTTTCTCCTTTGTAACCATTAACCACTTCAAGTCCGGACACTTTTACCCCCTTCCTGTCCAGGCCAATTTTCAGCGCTATCAAACTTTGAATGACAATTGCGCGGTCATCATGCAACACTGTACCCATATGAATTTTTTAGCATTTTTTTGAGACAGATAAAGCTTTAATTTTGGTGGTATTTATTCACCACTGGGATTTTTATTTTTTTTTGCTAATATAAATGAAAAAAATCCAAAAATTTTGAAAAGAAGTGTTTTTTCTTATAAAATTTTGAAAATAAATAATCTTTCTTCATAAATCTTGGCCAAAATTTATTCAGTTATCTTTTTAGAGAAAAAAAAAAAAAACCCCAAATTAGTTTTGTTTTTTTTTTTTTTTACATACGGTCACCCTAGCAGTATGTGACACTGTACTACTTATGGGGGGTGATTAAGATTTTTTTTTTTTTTTTTTTTTTTTTTACACCGATTGCTTTTACACCCATAAAGGCTGGAAAAGCAATCATTTCTCCTTCTCTCTGGCTGAATTCTTGCAGCCATTGAGAAATACTGTGTGAGCGGTGATTGGTCACAGCTTGTCATATGGTACAAGACTGTTGTGAATAGCCTTGTACCATGTGACCTCTGTGATCATTCACAGATTTCACACGTAGTAAGCAATGATGTCGGAAGTGTGATATCTTGCTTACTACTCTGCATGTGATCACTGATTGGCCAATCAGTGATCACATGATTGGGACCTCACACAGATGTCCCGTATGACGATCTGTGTTCCACTGTGTCCGGAGGACACAGCGGGCACCGGATCGCGGTGCTGCGCACTCCCAGGGGGCATGGAAACCCTTTATAAACAGCCACCACCCCTGCACTGCCACCATCTTGCCGTGTATATACAACGGCCGGACGGGAGGTGGTTAAAGCACAAATGCAGCCAAATCTTTCCTTTTAGTTTTATATAGAGCTGAGGGGATTAGAACCCCTGACATGGTTTTATTGCTGTCTGCCCCTGTGTATTTGTCCTGTTTATCATTATCACTGAAAGTAAGAGTGATAGAAAATCCTACATTTATAGTTATTACCAAACAGGAAAAGAGGGGAAATCTTCCAATGGGGACATTAGTTCTGGTAATAATCTGGGATTTCCTCTCAATTCATGTTTTGCAAGGAGTGAAGGAAGGAAAATCAACTCAATGGGATATAGATGGCAAAAAAAGTAACCTGACAGGGGCTATATACCTCCCTTTCCCCTATGCAGAATGAGAAAAAAAAAAAAAGTTTTGGCTTTAGTTCTATTTTAAGTGTCATTTATCCCCAATAGGTTATTTATTGCTACATAAAATTCATTAAGGGGAGATATGAAACCTTTCAGCACCTTAAAGGTTGCAATGGTGAAATAAGTGCACTTTACTTTTACATGCTAAAGGATACGAAATCTTATTTTCTTCTTTTAAAATGCATTAAGATGCCTCTTCCGACGTCCCCCTTTGGGTACCTAATTTTGCCCCTATCGCAACGTCGACGCAATGGCTTCCCCCTGTCGCCCTACGCTGTTACTATGGTTGGGACCCCTCTGGTGGCCTTATGTCACCTTTTTTTGCCTTTGCTCCCAATTATTAACAACCCTCTTTTCCCACGGGGTTTATATTATCCGGGGGCGTTTTCTTGGTGGGTGACTAATGGTTTTTCGCAGGTGCGACACTTTTTGATTTCTCGGTCCTTTCCTACCTGCAACTCTCTTCGGGATCGCGGAATGTCCCCCCAGTGGAATTCTTTCGATACCTTCAATTGCGACACTGGCTGCTTTCGTTGTGGAGCACTTCTGTTTTCCCGTACCAGAAATCTGCCTTTGAACAGCTTTGCCAACAGCGTCCGGGCGCTCCGGGCCTTATATCCCTTCTTTATGCAGCTCTGAACAGACGCTCATTGCATAATTCTCTTTCATATGTTGTTCAGTGGGAGCGCGATCTGGGAGTGGCTGTGGATCCGGAGGACTGGAATAAGGCCTGGTCATTCATAGCTAAATACTCATTTAATATGACCACACTGGAGGCAGCCTATAAGGTATTGTTTCGGTGGTATTGGGTTCCGGCTCGGTTGGCCCGGGCTAACCCTGCCTGTAGTGATCAATGTTTTCGGGGTTTGTGGCCATCGTGGAGATGTCTTGCCTATCTGGTGGTCATGCCCGAGACTGTTTCGCTTTTGGTCTCGTGTGTTTGGCCTCCTTTTCACCTTGTTCCATCTCTCCATATGCCGGGATGCCCGGTATGCCTTGCTTCATTGCCCCATACCGGGCCTCTTGGCTCACCAGCAGAAGTTGGATTCTTATTAGTTTCCATCGGCCACTAGAACAATTGCTCAGGCCTGGAAGAGTCCGTTTGTCCCTCTTCAGGGGGTGCGGGATCGTATGACTACTATGATGCTCAAACGAACAGATGTCGAGTATCCGCAATGACTCCCAATGTAAATTTTGGAAAATATGGGAGCCGTGGTTGCAATATGCCTTTCCCACACTCCCCCCGGCTAGCCTGGGGATGTAATGGCGTTCAATACTGGCGCTCTTGGACCCCTGCTTTTTGCCCCCCCCCCCCTTTTTTTTCCCCTCTTTCTCTCTCTCTCTGTTTTTGTTGTGACTGGACAGCTGCCTTTAGTTGTTAGAGTCAGTTGCATTAATGTTTTGTACCTTATGTGCCATTGATAGCCCCTGCGTGGGCGTACATTTTGCCCTGTTGGCGTTAGAGCACTGTTTTTTTTTTTTTATTTTATTTTGCATTTTTTTTTTTCTGTGCAATTGATAGCCCCTGTGTGGGCGTGTTTTATTGCCTCTGTTTTAAAATGTTTAAAAATTAATAAAAACCATTGGAATAAAAAAAAAAAAATGCATTAAGATTATACAACCAAAAGAACTAAAGCTGAGTAGGCTAAAACGCCTCAACTGTCACTGTATTTCTGACTTTTGCACTGTTGTTTTCTACAATAAACAAGATATTAAGAGCAGCAATGGTAGTGCGGATCACTTACATGGTTTAATGGTACAGCTGCATGACTGAGGATTGGGCACCTGTGAGCTCTGCCAAAGTTGAATAGATTGGGTAGTAGCACTAAATATTTCTACTTTATACAACCAAAAGAAAGCCTTGTTTGTCATGAAACAATCTATATCTCACTTCTGGTTCATAAGTAACATCAAAGTTAGTGCCAAATTAATAGGTCCGTAGCTGAAATGTGAAAATGGCTCAGGAACTTAACTGGTAAACATAGCTGTAAAGAGATGCTCTCAATCAGCACTTTTCAGGCTGCTAACATAAATAAAATGTGAGATTAGCACTTGCTAAGGCTGCCCTTTCTATAACAAGTCATTATGCCTTTTGTCAGTAACAGTGTTACAGGGTATTTTTGCAGGCTTTCCCTACCGGGCAGCCCACACTGCTCCCTCACCCCTCCTGGCCCAGATTTCACCAAGGTGTCTGGCTTTGAATCTTCCCATGCACTGTGAGTGACAGCAGAGATTTCTTTGTCTGTACCAAACATTGAACTCACAGCTGTCACTAATAATATGCAGATGCTCTTCCAAAATCTCCAACATGTACCTCCGACAGAAATCGATTAAACAATTGGCTTCTGTTGAGTGGGGGAGCCCACACACTAATCAAAATTGGCTGAATTTCAATCAGGGTATGGCCAGCATTACAATGAAGGTCTACAATTTGCTCTCTTTTGGTCTGTCAAATAGACATTTAAAAGGTTTTGTTATAATTATTCAATAAGTGCAAAAAAATTCCTGTTGGAATTGCCAGAAACCTTGGGATCCAATAACCTCTAGCGCTGTCTGTGTACTAGAAGGGGTTACGGAGACAAGGAGAGGTCTGTGTTCTTTGTAATCCAACAGATATAAAGTAGTCAAGGCTGACACCACATGCTAAGGAATTCAGAGCATTGTTGTCATTTTAAAGAGGGAGGTTGGAGCACACTATATTTCTGGCACATCAGTGTTTTTTTTGTAGCAGCAGAGTGTTGAAAGGAATAAGGAGAAATCTGTATTCCACAGATGTACCAATTATGGTTTTTTTTTTTTCTTACTCTGACATAGGCTTTAACAGAGAGGGAAATGATGGCAATGAGATTTCTTGAAAGCCCTGTGAGAAGTACAATGTATAAAATGTATTTAAATCACTGACTGAGCTCATTTTCTTCACCATCCCTGCAGCCAGTGATTGACCCCCTTATGGAAGTGGTTAAAGGAGAAGACTCTCATAAATAGATATCTATATTCTACAGTATGCTACTCCTTCTCTCCACATCCCAGTTGGCGTACAGACCTAAGTCATGGTGGGAAGCGGATGTGGAAGAAGTGGATGATGAAGACTGGGGTGAGGTCTTGAACACTTGCAAGGCAGTGTCACCTAGGTCTGATCGACTCCTCCCATTATATATCATGCATCGCTCTTATCTCTCCCCGCTTAGATTAGCCCACTATAAGTACCTTAGCTCCAGTACCTTTTTTCACCTATTATGGGTTTGTCCTATTATGCAGGGATTCTGTTGTCAAATTCCTTCACGACATTACCCTTGAACCCTCAAGTGTTTGTTAGGTCTTTTCTCCAGACCTAGAAAATTTACCAACATTTTCTTACACGAAACCCTATTTACAGACAGAAAATTGATAGCCAGACAGTGGATGAGGGCTGCACCTTCAGAATCGACAACTTGGATTAGTGAAATAAATAATACTCTGCCCTATGAAAAATTTTTATACTTCCACAGGGGATGCTCATCTAAATACAACAAAGTTTGGGATCACTGGCTACATTGTACCGCAGTGTGTGTGTGTGTGTATATATATATATATATATATATATATATATATATACATACATACACACACACACACACACACACACACACATACACATATATATATATATATATACACACACACACACACACACACACACACACACACACACATATATATACATACACACATACACACACACATACATATATATATATATATATATATATATATATATATATATATATATATATATATATATATACATATATATACATACACACACATACATACATGCACACATATACACACTACATCTGAGTAGTTATTCCCTTGCACAGAATACAGCCCGACCCGTTTCATGTACTTCTTTCTTACATATTTGACTTACATGCAGACCATGCACCTTTTACTCTCGCTTTCTCCTTGTAGTTGTCATGTACAATGTAAGTCTATTGAGATCTCTAGAGCCTCTTTTCAATTGTGCCTGTAATTACAGTTTTGTACCTTTTGTTCCTATTGTGATCCTTTATCTGTATTTATTTAACAAAATACAAATCACTGCCTGATCTGCAGAATCCCTTATATAGAAAGTTTAAATTGAGAAGACATTAATAGATAATGTCTAACAAAAAAATGTCATATACCCATTGACAATTAGCTTAGGAAAGATCTCATTTGGGAAAATGGTGACATATCAATTGTCTTCAGAAATTTACATGTCATATACATCGTACTTGTCTGGGAAATTACCTCTTGTTCTGTAGGATTTACAGATGGATTGCAGAAGTCAAAACCCATTATTTTCCAGGCTCCGCTTTTGTTTAGAATGATATTTTCTGTAGTTAGATTGGCGTGAATCATCTTTACGCTGCTATGTAAAAATGACAGGCCTTCGGATACCTACCAAGAAATAGCCACAGATTATTAAAAATGTTTAAGGCATCACACACTGTCAGCTCAATGAACTTTGCAACAGCATATAACATATCGGCTTATGATGTTATGTGTTTCAAAGCAGAGCCTACACAAATATCTCTAAATATATCAGTTAAAATACTGTATATCTAAAGCAACATTTTTGGATGAAATCTGAGATTTTCTTTTTTTTTTTGCTGTTTGTGTTTAATTCAGGAAGTTCATTGTACACTTTTGGTCTCAGAAATAAGAGGACATTTCTCTAATAAAGGATATCATTTCTTAGACAGCGGTCAATGAAACAAGGGCATCCAGAAGATTTCTTCTTACCTCCGTTTAAGTGACAACAGTAAAATTTTAGATTTCCCTTATGTTCTGTCCTCATGACAATGGTCTGCAGGACAAATAGAGAGTAAATCTCCCCACATCAGGGACACAGACAGCAAAAAAAAAAAAAAAAAAACAGCAAAGGTTCTAATACTTCACCATGCTGTTCAGAACAAAAACAATTTCCAGCGATTTAGACATTTCTGGCTATAGTACAGTGTGAGATTATGTATCACCTCTCCAATCACTCAATCCATTCAGAAAAAGCCTTGTATTCTTTCCACAGAAACCTAAACACTCTGTGAAAAGACATGGGAAGATCCTGTTTACCTGCCCATCCTGCTTTTGTTTATTCACAGAATGTTTTGTATTCTGTGAAAAGAATACAAGGCTTATTATGAATAGATGAAGGGAGAGGAAATGAAAGAATTCCACTTTCAGTGTAGATGTACATGCACACCTGCTTGAAAATATTTAATGCATGCTTTCTTTAAACAAAACTAACTATGTTCTGTAAACCCTTTAAGTTTCTTTTACATAGATGACTCAGGAATTTCACCTCATTTACCTGCACATCACTGTCATTCAATTTCCCACTTAATATGTGTGACTAACCCACAGAACAATTTGTATTAACACTAATCAAACTGCTTCAGATGACTGACAGTATCTGTATAGGTATGTTTTAACATGTCATAACAACTGGAAAGCACTGCATTTCACATCCATTTCTAGTAGTAAAGCAGATATTCCTGCTTTTGCTTTATTTCTGAAAGCAATGCAGATGCTAGATATTACTAGGAATTAAAAGCTTTTTTCCTTTCCTTCATTGGAGAATGCAGTCAACTTTTTATAAAGACTGCCATTGGGAACATAAAATAATCTTACCTGGAGTAACCCGTACTTTGTTTCCACATCATAGAGCTTATGATCTTTTATGTCGGCAGGGAGAGGGGATGGAAGGTTGTCCCAACTACCAAGAACATTGGCTAAGCTTGCAAAAACAGGTTCAGTGCAAAATGCTAGGCAATCCCTGTATGGAAGAATCATTAATCATAGTCAGTGTGCTGCATGTATTGTGACAACCTTCTGAACATAATCCAATGAATTTCTGAAATAACAGACAACAGAACAGAGGCTATTCAGAACCTCAATATATTACATGAGATTACTGCAGAACAGAAATCAGTGTTTATGACTCCTGCCATGGAAGATACTGAATTAACAGGTATTGAACAAAAACCTGTATTCCTCTCTTTTCTTGTCTGCATTGTAAAGCAGAATGTAAACAAAGCAATGCTCACATTCATCTAGGGTTGTGATAACTTTTTAAAGCATAGGTCACAGGTGTCAAACTGGCAGCCCTCCAGCTGTTGCCAAACTACAACCCATGAGGCATTGTAAGGTTGACAGTTAGAAGCATGACTCCCAAAGGCAGAGGCATGATGGGACTTGTAGTTTTGCAACAGCTGGAGGGCCGCCAGTTTGACACCCCTGGCATAGGCAAACATATGGTTGTAGTAAAAAGGTATATTGGCAAAGTTGATTGGTATCTATTGAAAACCATTTTTTAACAGAAAGCCTATTAAAATTACACTAATCAATATACATATGCTCTAAAAATAATCCACACATCTTCTACTTAATGATCCTGTAACATATTATTGAAATGGTTTCTTAATGTGTTTTTCTGCCTCCTTGTAAGATCCTGAACCTCTTCCCCTTTGCTTTACTTCCCTTTGTTTGGAACAAGCAGTGCACCTTAATTGTGGTCATGTGCACCTCTCTGTGCACACTGCAAATCCTATAGTTCACAGTGCCAAGTCCCTGGTCCATCTCAGGATTGAGCAAAAGAGGGTGACTTACTTTCCTTCATACAGTGAGACATGGAGGATGAATACAGCCACCCTCTTGAGATTTGAATGAGGCTGAGAGCAACAGAAGGTACTTCCTGAGTTACAGTCCAAGTAAACCCACTTTTGCATCTTTTACCTAAAGGGAAACTTACAATAAAGGTTACCTGTAGGTAAAATGAATATCTCCTAAACGTGCATCGTTTAGGAGATATATGCTCTTTTTGTCAGCTGGTGAATGCACTCTAAAGGAACAGCATACCCGTGGTGTTTCTTCGGAGCACTGTACTATGTCCCAAGACTCCTGCGTGCATGTGCAGGAGTGATGTCATCGTGGCTCGGCCACTCAGACGGCCGAAAATCGTGAACCCGGAAGGAAGACGGAGTGAAGATGGAAGCCTCTGCAGCAGGGACACTGCCTCGCTGGAGGGCTTCGTTTTAAGGTCCTGCATAATGTATGCGATTTCTCTTCTCAAGCTGTGGTTTACTACCGCTTTAAGAATACTTTCTTGAATAGAATGTTTTTAACGTCACTTTAATGCTGCTCAGAAAATGTAAATAGCCTTTGGAAACCAGCCAGCCCCCAGCTTAAAGCAAACAGCTTTAACTTAAAACCCTCTCATTGACAGCATATAGTTACATGTCTAACACACCCCCACCGCTGTCAAGTAAAAAAAGCCCTGTACTCTAAGTTGGTCTAGTCAGATCTTACACATAGCTGAGGATCACTGCTTGCCCTCAAGGAACAGAACTTGGTTAAGGACCTTAGCCAAGCCCCGGCTCTGTCATGTGGGTAGAAGGGAAGTTAGCTACATTTGCCTCAATACCAGAAAGTACTTGGGGTTTTCTTTGCTCTCTCAGTGGCTGCACAGATCAACACTGTAGTAAAGGAAAAGTTTAAGCTACTGGGGGCGAGGGGAGGCATTAAAACTGACCTGTTGGTTGCCCAGCATGAGGAAAGCACATGTTTGCTTTAAAACAAACATAAATTGTGTTTACTGGTAAAAGCAGGCACTAAAAAGTGGCAAAATACCCTTTAGTTTAAAATAGCAGGCCCTCCTAACATCACAAGAACCAAATCCCCAGCCCTTGTGCTCAAACCTGTAAAGTTCAAGAAAATGTAGTTTTGTGTGATCTTACGGTTTAATCTGCTCAATACTTTCTGCACAGCAATAGCTACATTACCTTGACTCTTCAAGAGGGTGCTGTACGGTAAGTAACCGCGGGTGCCGGAGACGTGTTAATTGCTGAACTCCTCTCTTTAGAGAATCTATGATTTGATCCTTTTCATACTTCTGATACTTGTCAATCAACTTCTTGTCAAACACAAAAACAGCAACCTCCTGTTAAAGAAGTACAACTCCTCCATGAATACAATTATTGGGTGCATTGTGATACTCCTGCTTTTCAGTCAGCAATGAATAACATAAGCAGACTTATTCACTAAAATACATTTCCATGTATATTTTTTTGCTAGATATACAGAGCCTTTAATGTGTATTGTAATGCCTCTGACATGCTTGCCGTGACCCTATAATCACACTTACTAAAAAAGAAAACAGTTGTCTGCAATAAGGTATAAAACGTCAGACACATTCATGATACAGTGAAGCACAGATATGGGTTTTAATTTATTTTTCAATAAGAGCAAACATATATTTTTGTAGGTGGTCAGGATTGGACCCTTGGGTGTAGGCAAACAAAACCAGCGCTCCAATCTTCATGCAAACCAAGGAATTGCCAAAATGCCAATCGAAGAGGTGCTGCCCTTCTGAGATCGGGAAATCTGACCACTGGTAAATGAAAACAAACAAGGGCACACTCTCATTGTGCATTACCGTGGTATACCACGTAATTTATTAAACAAAAAAGGATGTATACTCACAAACCAACGTGATTATAGGCAGTATGAGTGATCCACAAAAACAGTCACAATACAACTGTGTCTAATGATGCGTTTCAGGGGCTGAACCCCATTCCTCAGAGCTCTGAGGATCACTCATACTGCCTATAATCATGTTGGTTTGTGAGTATACATCCTTTTTTATTTAATAAATTACGTGGTATACCCCGGTAAAGCACGATGAGAGTGCTCCCTTGTTTGGACCCTTGGGTGTAAATGGACTGTTTACACCCACCAACCTCCAATTTGCTCCAGTTCACTAAAAAAACATAAAAAAAACAAAACAAAAAAAACACAAGGGTCAGTTAGGTATAAATGGAAGGCCGATCTGTTTACATCCACTGGCCCATAGAGCAGAGCAGGCTGCGTCTGTGTCCACGCTGTATAAACTGAGCAGACAGGGACCTGTCATCCACCCACTCTAGATCAGCAGGGGATCTGTCCACTGATCCCCTGTTGATCAAACAGAGCCCGCCCTGTGTGAAAGAGGCCTTACAAAAATGTATGCATAATAAGTTCCGCAAGCTTATTACAAAGCAAACCGGACATTAGGCTAATATACAATCTGAACTGGAAATACTGCTTTTTAAATACATACCTGTTTGGTGGATTTCTTCGTGCCATGGAAAATTTTCCAAGCCAGCCCATTGCCACCGCTGGCTATGTGTTTCCCTACATCAAACTCTCGTGTGACCGGGTTCCCCATCACAGCACTCGTGACGTCTGCTGTCACTTTTGTGACAGTACTTTTCAGCTTGTTCAGCATGGACTCCATTTTCGTTTACCTTTCATTAGCACAAAAAAAAGAGAAAGAAAGAAAACAGAATTTCAGTCCCCGAGCTGTATAATGAATACTTTTCATCACATGTCTGTATGACTGGTGTCAAGTCTAACAAGTTTTTTTTTTTACAATGAATTCGTTAAACTGCTTAAGAAAAAAAAAAAGTGGCAATTTAAACACAGCACAGAATTAGTTACCTAATATTATTATACAGGATTTACATCCTGATTATACCTACAGTTTGACCAGCGCTTTACAAAATAGAGGGAGACAGTGCAATTATAATACAATTCAATAAAAAAAATCTCATCAGAGCTTACAAACCAACAGGAAAGGTCAAGTGATACAAAAAATAATAACTGGGAGATGATCAGCTGGAGAAGGTAAAAGTACAATCTATTAGTTAGAGGTGGAATAGGCCTCTCTGGAATGATGGGTTTTCAGGCATCAACTGAAAGGTGGACAGCATAGGAGACAGTCAGACAGACTGGTGTAAAGAGTTCCAGAGGATGGAAGAGGCCTGCAGAAGTCCTTAAAGTGGTTGCAAACCCTTACATATACCCATTGAAGTGACTGGCTTCAGGTAATACACAGAAATGAAACAAATTCTCCTACATACGTTGTATATTTCCATTTGCAGTATTCTCTTCTCTACATCCATTTAAAGTGTTCCATTTTAAAGCATGTCTGAGAGACCAGAAAAAAGGGGGCGGAGAGCAGATGTTACACTCTGCAGAGCTCAGTGAGGAGAGCTCTGACAGTTATTTGGAAGGAAGAGACACACCCCCTTCACACAGTGCACAGGAGCAGAGCTGGGGCTGTCAATCATAGGCTGTGCCCTCCCCTGTCACCATTTTTCTCTTGGTGTCAAGAAAACTTGTCAGAACGGATACATGCTGATAGAAGAGGAAGGAGGCAGCAGACAAAAGTGACATTTAGGGCTCTTAACTGAGACTATGTGTGTACATATATGAACATTATGCTTTGTTCATATTTTAGTCTGAAGTTTATAACCACTTTGAGGCAAGTGTGGGAGGAGATGACAAGGGAGCTAGAGAGTAGGAGGCCTTGGGAGAAGCAAAAAGAACTTTTTTGTTTGGTAATTTAAATAAGGTTGCTGATGTAGCTGGGGGCAGAAATGTGGTTGACTTTGTAGGTTGTTTGCTAGTATTACGAAACTACGAATGTATTCATAAAGTGAGAGGATGCCAATGGAGATATTGGCAGTGAGAGGACGCCAATGGAGATATTGGCAGAGAGAGGTACCAGACACTGAACAGTTGGTGAGGAGGATGATTCTGGCAGCAGCATTCATGATTGAATGAAGGGAAACTAGCTTATGTAAAGGTAGGCTAATGAAGGAGCTGCAATAGTCAAGGTGACAGATAACGAGGGATTGTATTAGTAGCTTTGTAATGTTGTTATGGAGGTCGAGGCAGCAAGATTTGGACAGTGATTGGATTTGGGGCCGAAAGGAGAGTTCAGGATTACATCTAGCACCCTGGCATGCGGGAAGGAATTACATTTGTGTCATTGGTATGACATGGACATATGGTAATCCAGCAACGCTGGACCAATTTTAGAAACCAGACAGACAGCGTGCCTAAAATATTAGAGTTGCATATCTATGGCCAGAGGAAATACTAAGCATCTGCTGCACTTGAAATTAAAATTGGTTCCAATATTTTACTTGTCATGTAAACATATTTAAAGCCATATCAGGTATTATCACTGAAAGTATAATCCTTTTTACGTGGTACCACACACAATGGATGATGCCTATATACACTATACGATTAAAGATTTGTGGATACCTGACAATTACACCTATCTAAATGGCCACAAGTAAGTACGAATAAATTATAAAGGCCCAGTGGAACTTCCAGTTTAAATCTGCTAATAACTTTCCAGCTGCATTCAAACTAAATGAAAGGAATTTACTGAAATTGGATCAGTCAGAATCTGGAGTGGCTTTGCGTGGCAACCAATCATCTTCTAGCTTTCATTTTCAATGCTGAACAATCAGGAGATAAAGGCTGATTTGGTTGCCATGCTCCAGAGTCTGTCTGTTCCAGTTTTGATCAATTTTGCACAAAGTATGAAGTTTGTGACCTTAACAAATCAGTGACAACGTGTGTAGAAAAGCCTTTCTGCATGAAAGCAGTGGTCTCTGCAGAAGTTCGTCCCCTGATGACCTATAGCCAGAGATCTCCAATCAGTGAGGAGCATGAGCTCTGCTGATTGCAGATGACTTGGTCAGACTCAGCAGGAGGCTTGTCAGTTCTCTCCAATTAGACCACCGCTTCCCCACTGAGAGTAAGGATCCCATTCTGCAGCCTGCTGTCAGGACATGGGCTTCTCCACTCAGTTTGCAGCTGCTTTAGAAATAAAACTAACAAATACATTGAACACTTTTTGTTTTGATGTGCCTGGAATATATTTATTAACTACTTCAGCTCCGAAAGAATTACCCCCCCTTCCTGACCAGGCCATTTTTTTGCAATATGGCACTGCGTTACTTTAACTGACAATTATGCGGTCATGCAAACGCTATACCCAAATTAAATGTATGTCCTTTTTTCCCCCACAAATTGAGCTTTCTTTTGGTGGTATTTGATCACCTCTACAGTTTTTACTTTTTGTTTTAAAAACAAAAAAATACTTACAATTTTGAAAAAAACAAAAACAAAACATTATATTTTCTACTTTAAAACATATCCAATAAAAAAAATGTTAAAAATCAAATTTCTTCTTAAATTTCAGCCAAAATGTGTTCTGCTACAAAATTTTTGTAAAAAAAAATCCCAATAAGCGTACATTAGTTTGCACAAAAGCTATAGTGTCTACAAACTATGGGACATATACTGGAATTTAAATTTTTTTTATTTTTGATACCAGTAATGGCGGCAATCAGCGACTTATAGTGGGACTGCGATATTACGGCGGACAGTTTTACAAAAACTGACAGTGGTGCAATACAGTGATCAGTGCTAAAAATATACACTGATTACTGTACAAATGACATCGGTTGGGAAGGGGTTAACATCTAAGGTGATCAAAGGGTTAAGTGTGTGCCTAGATATGTGCTTGGTGTACACTAAGTGGTGCTGGAACAAGAGGAAGTAATGGATCATGTTCCCAGCTTTGCAGACACACGATCAATCACTCCCTCCTGTCACAACAGAGCTGTGCCTATGTATAGGTATACCTCAGTTCTTCCTCCCTGCCCAATGATCTACAGGTGCTGGCGAACATCCATTCACCAGGACTCACAGATCGGATTCTGCTGTGAAAGTGTGTGTATATGCACACACACACATATATATATATATATATATATATATATATATATATATACACACACACACACACACACATACACATACACACACACACACTCCATTTCAGCTGCAGTGAGCCAGCCCGGTAGGGGCAGTGTGAAGCGTGTTTTACGACATCACACAGCTCCCTTTTTTGTGTAAACTTTATATAAAGTCCACTTTATCCAGTGCACAGTGATATGCGGTGCCTTCCTGTGCATTGCGATAAAATGCAGCAAGTCTACACTTTATCGCAGCTCCCTGTATCGCAGCTCCAGGCTGCATTGCAGTGCGAACAGGACACATGTTTGCGCATCCTAGCGATGACTGGCGCTCTTCCAGTGCAGAAAACATCGGTAAGCACACCACACGTGAACAGTTTGTTAGAATTTTTTTTTGTTTTTAAGAATGATAATTATTTTGTTAGTGGGGTCAAATTGACATTTGTTTTCAACCGCAGCAGCGAGAAAATTCAAAGGAGCAGGATGGAATTTTTTTCTCGAAAGAACACATTTCTAACAGTGTATGCATTTTGCTTGGAAAAGCCATTCACATCAAAATTTTGCTTGCACTTACATTCATTTTTGAAGTACTCTCAAATTAAAGTAACATTAATGGTTTGCTTTTTTTCCCCCGTTTAAAATAATAAACATGTCATACTTACCTGCTCTGTGCAATAGTTTTGAACAGATCAGTTCCGATCCTCTTCTTCTGGGCTCCCACACCAGTACTCCAGGCTCCTCCTCTTTGGCAGAAGCTGCTTCCTATGAAGGCACTTGTGCAGGCTCGCCCACGAGCCGCCTTGTCTGCGTCCAATGCTATAGATAGGGTGGCCCGGCCCTGCCCCATCACATAATTTGATTGACAAAAGTGGGAGCCAATGGCTTCTGCTGCTATCAATCTGCGCAGTCAGGAGGGAAAGAAGTGGAAGAGCCGCTGCTCTCATGCACATCACTGGATCAGGATTGGACTCAAGTATAAGGGGGGTGAGGGGGAACACATGCAGCACAGAAGGTTTTTCGCCTTAATGCATTAAAGACATGCAGGTAGGTTAATTGGCTTCTCTCTAAATTGGCCCTAGTATGTGTATGTATGAATGTGAGTTAGGGACCTTAGATTGTAGACCCATTGAGGGTTAGGGACTGATGTGAATGTACAATACATATGTAAAGCGCTGCGTAAATTGACGGCACTATACAAGTACCTGAAATAAATAAATAAAATAAGTAAAAAAAACCCAAGGCTTACAACCACTTTAAATACGTCATCAAAGTCACTGCGTGTACTAAGAATTTGCATACAAATGTTAATTTGAAATTCTACTAATGTAAGCTTGACCCAAAATACAGAGCGAGAGACTATCCCGTAGTTCAGTTTTCTTTAATTGTAATACAGAAAACAATATAGCCAGGTATCTCAAAGTCCTATAACAGATGTCTGACAAGAGACATTCCTGCTCATTGTCTTCTGTAATGATTGTGTGCTCATGTACTGATCTTACCTGAGAAAGAAAGCACCACGTGGTCTGTAGGAACTATGTGAGAAAACCAGCCTTTCACAACAGTAAATAGGAGTCTTGTGATCATTTCTCCAGCTTATCTACAAATACAACTATACAGACAAGAGCTACTTACACAAGAAACTATTAGTGTGTCTCCTTATTAAAGGGAAATCAAAGATATTTTGTATGTCATCTAGACACCATGACACATACCATCATATAGGCACATCTAAAAATGGACATCTTTTTACAATGTCTGCACCTTGCTAGGTTGTGCTATTGGAGGCATATGGTCCCCTTTGTATCTAGAGCTAATTCTGAACTGTACAGTCTACTAGGAAAGAGCAAAGAAAGATATCATCCTTTCCTTAAAAAAAAGAGAAAAAAAAAAAAAGGTCCCAGAAATTCCTACATCTCCCCCAGCGGCCATAGTTTTCCATTCCTGGCAGGTACCGCGGGACAGGGATACTACGACCGGACAGATTTGGATTTGACATGCAAGATATGTACTTTTAACATGAGTTGTTATAACATTTTTAGTAAACGGTTAGCCCATTATTGCTGTACTTAGTTGGCACTTCCCTGTCTTTGTATATTGGGTTCACACAGGAGTGGTGCTGGAAACCACAGGCGATTCTGATAGGAATTGCACCGCATTCCTGTTCAAAACACATGTGATTCATTGCAGTGCCATTTGAACCCATTCATTTGTATGTATGTAAGAGCTCAAATCGCACCACAAATGTATCAGTTTATATGAGTACATGTGCAAAAACTGGATAATGGCACCAATACCAGTATCGGTGCAACCGTAATAGCTGTGTCACACATTTCACAGAGCCTGCCTTCTGAACTACTAAGGTGCTGAGAGGAAGAGGTTCAGTACACAAATCACAGCTTGCAGGCAGTAAACAGCAGAGGAGAAGCTGCAAAGTATGCAGGGAACCCGGAAAGGTATGGGGAAAGATGGCTAGCAGACAGGCAGAGCTCACAACATGAAAGGAGATTTTTCAAGTAAGCTTATACTGGATTGCCAAACATAACTATTGTTTGTATTGTTATTACAATGCTGATATTATAAAATGAAAGTACATCCTGTGACCATATAGTCCCTTTAAAGTGTTTGTAAACCCATACTTTATGTAAAAGTAACAAACATGGTATACTTACCTGCTCTGTGCAGTGGTTTTGCACAGAGCAGCCCCGATCCGCCTCTTCTCAGGTTCCCTGCTAGGTCTCTTGGCTCCTCCCTCCACCACGTGCCCACCATAAGAAGCTGCTTGCAATGGGCACACTTGTGTAGACTCACTCCCGTGCCAGCTCTGTGTTTCCATAGACACATAAGCCTCCTTACTACAGTGGCTTGAAAAAGTATTCATACCCTCGAATTTTTCCACATGACATGTTACAGCGAAAAAACGTAAATGTATTTTATTGGGATTTTATGTGATAGACCAACACAAAGTGGCACATAATTGTGAAGTGGAAGGAAAATGATAGATGGTTCTGAACATTTTTTACAAATAAATATGTGAAAAGTGTGGTGTGCATTTGTATTCAGCCCCCTTTACTCTGATACTCCTAACTAAAATCTAGTGGAACCAATTGCCTTCAGAAGTCACCTAATTAGTAAATAGAGTCCATCTGTGTGTAATTTATTCTCAGTATAAATACAGCTGTTCTGTGAAGCCCTCAGAGGTTTGTTAGAAAACATTAGTGAACAAACAGCATCATGAAAGCCAAGGAACACACCAGACAGGTCAGGGATAAAAATTGTGGAAACATTTAAAGCAGGGTTAGATTATAAAAAAAATATCAATACTTTGTAGAACCACTTTTCACTGCAATTACAGCTGCAAGTCTTTTTTGGGGATGTCTCTACCCGCTTTGCACATCTAGAGAGTGACATTTTTGCCCATTCTTCGTTGCAAAATAGCTCAAGATCTGTCAGATTGGATGGAGATCGTCTGTGAACAGCAATTTTCAAGTCTTGCCACAGATTCTCAATTGGACTTAGGTCTGGACTTTGACTGAGCCATTCTAACACATGAATATGCTTTGATCTAAACCATTCCATTGTAGCTCTGGCTGTATGTTTAGTGTCGTCCTGCTGGAAGGTGAACCTCCTCCCAGTCTCAAGACTTGCAGATTCTAACAGGCTTTCTTCTAAGATTGCCCTGTATTTGGCTCCATCCACCTTCCCATCAACTCGGACTAGCTTCCCTGTCCCTGCTAAAGAAAAGCATCCCTACCACATGATGCTGCCACCGCCATGTTTCATGGTGGGGATGGTGTGTTTAGGGTGATGTGCAGTGTTAGTTTTTCCGCCACACATAGCGTTTTGTTTTTAGGGCAAAAAGTTCAATTTTGGTCTCATCTGACCAGAGCACCTTCTTCCACATTTGCGGTGACCTCCACATGGCTTCTCGCAAACTGCAAACAGGACTTCTTATGGCTTTCTTTCATCAATGGATTTCTTCTTGCCACTCTTCCATAAAGGGCAGATTTGTGGAGTGCACGACTAATAGTTGTCCTGTGCAAAGGTTCTCCCACCTGAGCTGTGGATCTCTGTAGCTCCTCCAGAGTTACCATGGACTTCTTGGTTGCTTCTCTGATTAATGCACTTCTTGCCCGGCCTGTCAGTTTAGGTGGACAGCCATGTCTTGGTAGTTTGCAGTTGTGCCATACTCCGATTTTCGGATGATGGATTGGACAGTGCTACCTGTTCAAAGCTCGGGATATTTATTATAACCTAACCCTTCTTTAAACTTCTCCACAACTTTATCCCTGCCCTGTCTTGTGTGCTCCTTAACCTTCCTGATGCTTTTTGTTCACTAATCTTCTCTAGAAAACCTCTGAGGGCTTCAGAGAAAACCTGTATTTAAATTACACACAAGTGGCAATTGATTCCACTAGATTTTAGTTAGGGGTATCAGAGTAAAGGGGGCTGAATACAAATGCATGTCACACTTTTCAGATATTTGTGAAAACTTTTGAAAACCATTTATCATTTTTCGTTCACTTCACAATTATGTGTACTTTGTGTTGGCCTATCACATAAAACCCCAATAAAATACATTTACATTTTTGGTTGTAACATGACAAAATGTGGAAAATTTCAAGGGATAAGGATACATTTAAAGGCACTGTAGTTGTGACTGACAGCAGCAGGAGCCAATGTCTTTGAGCCTATGAGGAAGGCGACAGCCAACACTCTCATGCACATTGCTGGATCGCGATCGGGCTCAGGTAAGTATAAATAAGAGGGGCTGCAGTCAGGAGGTTTTTTACCTTTAGGCCTCATTCACACCATACGTGCAGAAAAACTGATGGAAACTGCCGTGCATATTTCACTTGCAGTGAGATCAGTTTTGATCAGTTTTCATGTGTGTTTCAATGAGTTTTACACACATTGCAGATTCCTGCACAGAAAAAATCTGCACGTGACACTGATGTCGTGGTGTGAACAGGGCTCATAAAGAACAAATTATTTTTTTGTGCCCTTGCAGAACGCCGGCAGAAAAACTGATGTCTGCACCATGGTGTGAATGAGCCCTAATACAGAGAATGCATTAAGGTAAAAAAAAACCTTCAGCCTTTCAGAACCACTTTAACCACCTCCCGCCCACCATATAGTAATATGACGGACGCAAGGTGGTTTTCTCATTCTGGGAGGACGTCATATGATGTCCTCCCATTCTCACCGCGCATGCGCGGCTCCCGGAGTGCGCAGCACGGCGATCGGCGGTGCGCTGTGTCCCTTGGACACAGCGGATCACGGATCCGAATCGGCTCAGTCATGTGATCAGCTGTCTCCAATCACATCTGATCACATGTAAACAGGGAAATGCCGGTTATCGGCATTTTCTCCTCTCTCGAGCTGTCATGCTGACAGCTCGAGAGGAGAGCCGGTAATCTGCATTCCGCGGAGGGGACATCTGCACTGATGATCAGTGTGCCCTGATGATCAGTGTAGCCCCAGCAGTGCCACCTGTCAATGTCCATCAGTGCCACCTGCCAGTGCCCATCAGTGCCACCTGCCAGTGCCACCTGCCAGTGCCCATCTGAGCTGCCTTTCAGTGCCACCTATCAGTACTGCCAATCAGTGCCACCTATCAGTCCCATATATCAGTGCTGCCTGTCAATGCCCATCAGTGCCACCTACCAGTGCCTCCTCATCAGTGCCACCTATCAGTGCAGCCTATCAGTGCCCATCACTGCAGCCTCATTATCGCACAACAGTGAAGGAGAAAAATCACTTATTTACTAAATTTTCTAACAAAAACTAAGAAAAAACTTTTTTTTTCAAAATTTTCAGTGGTTTTTGGTTTGTTTAAGAAAAAATAAAAAACCCAGAGTTGAATAAATACCACCAAAATAAAGCTGTCACAAAAAAATTATAAAAATTTCATATGGGTACAGTGTTGCATGACCGCGCAATTGTCATTCAAAGTGCAACAGCGCTGAAAGCTGGAAATTGGCCTGGGCAGGAAGGGGGATATAAGTGCCCTGTAGGCTTGTGGTTAATGCCATCTCATGGCAGCACTTTAACTGAACTTTAAAGGATAAGTTCACCTTTTATAGAAAAAATAACTGCACATTTTTTTGCAGGTAAACAACAGGCATTTATTCTTTTTGTCTGCAGGAGTCTGGAAAGCATTGCCCCAGTGATCAGTAGATCGCAGATGCCATGCAGGTTTCCTGCAGACCTGTCAGAATATATGCTTGCTGTACCGGATGTATGGTCAAGCAGATATTCTGACAGGCAGAATGAACAAACTACCTCGGTGCTTCACAGGGCCGTGGTAGTTCATTGAGGACTACAAGCTGAGAGCCGCTAAGGCTGTCGGAACTTGTAGTCTCTCATTCACAGATGACTGAGAATGAGTGACGCGGTCATGTGGGCGGAGCCCTGCACGGCCATTTTAAAAAACAATTTGACAGCTAGTGAGGGGGGAGAAGATTTGTGGGGGGGGGGGGGGATCTGGGGGGAGCGGGGGTCAGTCTGAACGTAACATGTTACAAAAGGAGAACTTACCCTATAATGTCCAGAAGGCAGTATAGCTTTGTGTCATGTCAACTCCAACAGTGGTCACATGTTCAGGAGCCCTACCCACTGGCTCCTTATCAGAAGCTATGGCTGAGAGCTGCTGATAAGTGCGTTCTAAGCACACAACCTTGCACCGCCGTGGATGCATACAAGCTGTGCGGCTGAGTGTTAAAGTCCACATTTTTTTTCACTGCATATATATTTTATGCAGTCATCAAGAAGTTATAGCAGATGTGAACACACAGCTGCATATACATATATTAAAGTTCAGTTAACTGGGTTAGTTTCAGAAGTGGGAGGGCAGTTCATTATATCACATACATGCAGGAAGAACAGTAAGTTCTCAGTTACATGTTTCGAGGGTGACACCGCATTACAAAGGCTGGCTGTTATTGGCAGGGGACATGGCAACTAATCTGACCATGGAGGATGCAGGCACATGGTGAGTTTGCGTGATGTGCAGTAGCTGTGGAAAGCAAGCCCGGGGACATAAAATGACCACGCAAGCACATATCCACTTCTGTGCTTTGTATGGTCACTTTACAAGGAAAAAAGGGGGACTGGCAGGATCAACAAGGTATTTTTCATTAATGAAGCAGTAATAGACTACTATAAAAAAAAAAAAAAAAAAAAAAGATACGCATGCTGTGCAAATATACACATGGATATCACTTTAAGACATAAATATTCAGAGGTGGCCCAAACAGGGAAAGAAAATAAAGAAAAGACGGCTCCCATAGGCACTAGACCACATGTGGTATTATGGTAAATACAGACAGGGAAATATCATACAGGCAATTTTGGAGCAACAATTCCTTGCTGCTACAAACGATAATAGCAGCAATTTCCAGCTAGCAACATTAACGCTACATTTACCAGGTTAGATTAATGCTTCATCATTACATGATTACACAGATTATGCCCCGTACACACGATAAGAATGTCGGACAACTGATCTTCCGTTTTGTTTTGTTTTTTGCATGCTAGTCTCCATATTGACAATGAAAAGGGTACTAAACGTACGAAAATTCTTGTACAAAAGAAAAAAAAAAATTTCGAAAGTAAAGTAATGTATTGTATTTATATTTTCAGACAACTACTGTACTGGTTAAATGAAAAGAGTATGATCTGGTATCATATGAGAAACATTTTCACGCTTGTCCCTTCAGATATTGTCGCATGAAATTGTCGTGATCTGCTCCTGAAAGCTGTGTACTAACGAACAGATTGTCAAACGATCGGTCCTCGTATGCTTTTTTTATCATGTGTTTGGGCCATAAGTCCCGTCAATTTAAGAAGGTGCTCTTAACGACATCTCGTTACGTGTATAAAAGACACCTGTCCACAAAATCTTTCTTCCATTCAAACCTCACCAAGACCAAAGAGCTGTCAAAAAGGATACCAGGGACAAGATTGTAGGCCTGCACAAGGCTGGAATGGGCGAGAAGACCATCAGCAAGAAGCTTGGTGAGAAGGAGACAAATTTGCAAATGGCAAAAATACAAAATAGCCATCAATCGTCCTCGGTTTGGAGCTCCATGCAAGATTTTGCCTCATGGGGTAAGGATGATCATGAGAAAAGTGAGGGATCAGCCCAGAACTACACAGGAGGAGCTTGTGAATGATCTCAAGGCAGTTGGGACCACAGTCACTAAACAAACCATTGGTAACACAATATGCCACCATGAACTGAAATCCTGCAGTGCCCACAAGGTCCCCCCCTCCTCAAGAAGGCACATGTATAGACCCGTCTGAAGTTTACCAATGAACATCTAAATGATTCATAGAAGGATTGGGAGAATGTGCCCTCGCCAGATGAGACCAAAATTGAGCTCTTTGGCATTAACTCGACTCACTGTGTTTGGAGGAAGAAAAATGCTGACCGACTATGACCCTAGGAACATCATCCCTACAGTCAAGCACAGAGGTGGAAAAATTATGCTTTGGGGCTGTTTGTCTGCTAAAGGTACAGGTCAACTTTGCCACATTGAGGGGCCATGTATTGTAAAATATTGGTTGAGAACCTTCTTCCCTCACCCAGAAGATGGGTTGTGGATTGGTCTTCCAGCATGACAATGACCCAAAACATACCGCCAATGCAACAAATGAGTGGCTCAAGAAGAAGCATATTAAGGTCATGGAGTGGCCTAACCAGTCTCCAGACCTTAATCCTATAGAACATTTATGGAGGAAGCTGAAACTTTGAGTTGCCAGGGGACAGCCAAGAAACCTTAGGGATTTAGAGAAGATCTGTAAAGAAAAGTGGATCAAAATCCCTCCTGAGATGTGTGCAAACCTGGTAACCAACTACAAGAAACATCTCACCTCTGTGCTTGCCATCAAGGGTTTCTCAAGTACTAAGTCATGTTTGGCTTGGGAATCAAATACTTATTTTGCTCACTTAATTGCAACTCAATTTATAACATTTGTATCGTGTGTTTTTCTGGATTTTTGGTTGGTATTATGTCTCTATCATTTAAAGTACATCTATGATAAAAATAACTACTTTCCCCACTGTTTGTCCTGAAAATCATTTAGATATGGCAGAAAAAGTCAAACCCCCACTGTACTCTCTGCCTGCTCTGGCTGTAAGCGCTGCTGATCTCAAAGACGCCAACGTTACAATCGTATCTCCACCTATTAATTTCTTCACTGGGAAGAATTGCAGAAACTTGCTGGTGGCAGCCCATGTGACTGAAGCCTAGAGTTGGCCATACACATTGAGGTTTTTTTTTTTTTTCATTCAGTGAATAAAAAAAATAACAGATTCCACCATTCGCACAAATGAGGTGGATGGAGAAGTTCCCCCACCTCGACACAGTATTCTGACAGCGGCACCTGTCACTATCAGAACACACTGATCAGTAGATCTAATAGACTGGCTGCAAATGGCACTTGCTGGAAAATTTTCCAACACGTCCCTTGTTCATACAATCAACTTCTGTGGAGGAGGGGTGCTCACACAATGAACCATATTTAGCTAGTCACTGCTGGATCGGCCAAATTGTGATCAGTGTATGGCCTCTTCATGAGGTGTAATCACCAATGAACAAAGCAGTTCAACACATCTCTCGTGGCAGGCAGGAGTGGCCACAGCATCTAGCACTGGACACTATCTCTCACACTGGAAGCGTCAGAGCGCAGTGGTACCCAGAGCACATGAAGACACACAGATTTCACTTGGTACCTGTAAGACAGGCAGACATTCATTTTCTTCTATTACAGTAGGGGCACTGGTTGGATTTTTATTTTAAAGCAATGTGACACTGTTAAAAGCTGAAGATTTAAAGTGGAACTTTGACTGAAAATTCAAAATGTGCCACCAGGCAGGCTTTTCATTACAGAAACCGCATACTCTGATGCCCGGTGGAGTATACATGTCACCATGGGGCTGTCTCTCTCTTCCTGGTTCTTATAGCTTGCTCATGAGGATGTGCCATACTGTATGCATGTCAACAGAGGGCTCGCTGTCTTTTCCTAGTTCTAGAAGTTGGCTCCTTAATCATGTGCTGTGGTGCACGCATATCATCAGGGGGTTAGTTGTCTCTTCCTGGTTCTTGTAGCTAACCCCTGATGAAGTGCCATGGCATATGCATGTCATCAAGGAGCTGGCTGTTCTTGCAGCTGGCCCACTAATCATGTACAGTGGTGCATGCATATCATCAGAGGGCTGGCTGCCTCTTCCTGGTTCTTGCAGTTGGTCCCTGATGATCCATGTCATTAGGGGAAGGCTGCCTCTTCCTGATTCTTGCAGTTGGCCCCTGATGATATGCCATGGTATATGCATGTTATCAGGGGGATGGCTGCCTCTTCCTGGTTCTTGCAGTTGGGCCCTGATGATGTGCCAGAGTGTATGCATGTCATCAGAGGTGGGCTGCCTCTTCCTGGTTCTTGCAGCTAGCCCCTGATGAAGTGCCATGGCATATGCATGTCATCAAGAAGCTGGCTGTTCCTCCCTGGTTCTTGCAGCTGACCCACTAATCATGTACAGTGGTGCATGCATATCATCAGAGCGCTGGCTGCCTCTTCCTGGTTCTTGCAGTTGAGCCCTGATGATGCGCTATAGTGTATGCATGTCATCAGGGGCAGACTGTCTCTTCCTGATTCTTGCAGTTGGGCCCTAAAGATGTGCCATGGCATATGCATGTCATCAGTGGCCAGGCTGTCTCTTCCTGGTTCTAGCAGCTCAACCCTGATGATGTGACTAGGTTCTGATGAAGCGCCATGGCACATGCATGTCATCAGGGGGCTGGCTGTCTCTTTCAGGTTCTAGCAGCTCAACCCTGATGATGTGCCACAGCGTATACATTTAAT